TGCCCAGTTGCTTGTCAAGCCTTGCCACAAGACCCTGCTTTGATCCATGGAGTCTGCAAGGAGCCAGGATCCTACAAATTTGGTCTTTGCTGGAGAGAAGATGGACACAGAGCCGGCACAGCGGGCGGTTTGCTCTCTGACCGGCAGCCCTATGGCAGAGGTGCTCCAGCACCACCTGGGACACACTGCCAGCTCTTCCCAGCTCTCTCTGGCTTTGCTGAACACCTCTAAGGACCTCTGGCAGTGCAGCTCTTCTGCCCAGAGTGACACCTCTGCCGTGCTGGAGGTGGGGCCGGGCATGCTGGGCTCTTCCCGGTGGGCTCATGGCCGGCAGAGAGCTCTGCCCTGGCACCAACCTCCTGCTCAGAGCCACGGGAATAGATGGGACTTCCTTCACCTGGGCTGTTCCCATCACTGCCAAGTCCCCACGCCCCGGGCTGGGCACTCTCCAGGCTGGGTGGGGGCTGCAGGATGACCCCCTGCCTGGAGGAAGATGGTACTTGGACGGATGGATGGATGGATGGATGGATGCATGAACCATGGGATGAGCCACCAGCCGCCGTCCTGTGATGCCTCAACACTCCTCCATGGGAATTTGGACTGAGGCCCTGCAAACTCATTTCCTACCACGGATCTGTCCTCTGATGGGGACGGGGCTGGCTTGGGGCCACCCAGCTCTGTTGCCAAATGCCAGAAGCTCTGTAGCTCCTCGGTGCTTACGAGGGCCATCGCATCCCCCCTGCTCTCATCCTGTCTGTTCCTTCTTGATGTCCTCCAAGAGCAGGATGGAGCCAGGCCTCTTCTCCTCCCCGGGGCACCTTGGAAGCTCCCAGGAGGGCTGGGTCTGGATGAGAGAGCGGGTTACAAAAAAATCCCCCTCTGGGATGAGCACACATCCTGCTGCCACCGCTGTGACTTGGACCCCCATTTGGAGTCTCCTGGGGCTCCCAGCCCTCCACCCCTTTGCAGGATGGAGCTGATGGAAAAGAGGGAGCCACATCCCAGTGACATGGAAACTACTTGGAAGAGGCTACAGGAGAGCAGCAGGAACAGCCGTGGCTGCTGCAGCCCCTGCAGGTGCCCTGCAGCAGAGGGGGGGCTTTGCCCCCAGGGACCCCCACGGCCGTGGAGGGGGAGGCAGCACACGTGGTTTCCTGGCAGAGCGTAATCCCCAATCCCGGTGGAGATTTCTCTGTGCCGTCTCTCGGCCTTGCTTTTGGAGTGGAGTTTTACCAACAGCAGTTAAGTAAAATAAATAAAGAGGCCTGTGCGTGCCAGTGCTCGCGAGGCCGCGCCAGGGATTGGCAAAGCAGCACCATTAATTACAGCCCGGCACCGCTGCCAGCCTGCCGGCTCCAGGAGAGGCCG